CATATGAATTGATCGACAAAGGAGTTCCAATTTTTCTAGATTCGATTTCCAAATTTGGTAATAATCCTGACTGTATTATAAATAAAAATATTTTATCACATGATTAAGATCTGCAAATTCCTTATAACGGTCATTTTTTGCCAAAACAGAAGGGCCGTTATAGAGAGAGTGTACTGTATTGTATTAATTTTTGAGTATTTACATGATTTTTTTTAAAGATGATTGCTAGATGAAATTGAAAAAGGTGAGAAAATAGAAGATTTAAAAATGAATATATTGCAGGCAATAAGATTCATAATAAAAAGTTGGGAAGAAATCACACCTGAAACTCTTCGTAACTGTTGGAGACACACCAACATCCTTCCAGCTGGTATTAATGCAGAATTATCAAATATGTCTGATAATATTAGAACAACAGATGACTCAACATTGAATGAACTTTCAGAATACTCGCCACCCTTAACCTATTTGATAAAATGCAAGTTGATGAATTTTTGAATATCCCTGAAGAAAATATTGTCTATGAGGTTCCAGAGGACAATAAAATTATTGAAGAACTTGCAGAAATATATAAAAATATATAATTTATTATAAATTACAAAAATTGTAAAATAACAAAAATTTTTGAACCTTTATTTGTTATGAAATTACGAGATGAAAGAAAATAGTGAATGAAGAATGAATTACAAGATTAAAAATTTATTGTTTACGAAATTCAGATTGTGTTATATTTTAGAAATTATCCAATTAAATCAAAATTTATGTTGATGATTTCTAAATTTATCCTAGTTACATGATGAATTTTATACATTGGTCACGTGGGGTGGATTTATGGAGAGAGTTTTCATATGAGCGGACCGAAAAATACCATGCAGTGCAGAGTATGGAGGGTGTGCATTTACCACTAAGTCCCGAGGTCAGGACCAAGACATAGTGTGCATTTATGGAGGGTGTGCATTTATGGAGGGTGCACTTATGGAGGTCTGACTGTATGTTAAATTTGTTAACTTTTGTCACAGTGAACTATAACAGTCGCAGGACATTGCAGATCTACAGGGGGTCAAGTGTCACTCACTAATAAAAAATTTTTGATCAACACGGAA